GTTTAGTGAGAAAGTTTAGGGACCGTATTAATAATTTTAGTCAAACTGCTGCTTAACCATGTGAATTTATGAAACAAAGTCTATTGAATAAATATTCAAAAGTTTCCTTTTTAAAGTAATGCATTTTTATACTCCAATAAATTTTCATTGAGACTAAATTATGAAAGCAGTTTCATTATTTAGTTGTTGTTGTTGACATCACTTTGGTCTGAGCTGGGTTAAATAAGAAATAAAATGTTAAACATTACTCATCAAGTTTAAATATACTACTTCTTAAACTTGAAATTTGAATCTATAACAGTAAGTGTTGTATTTATGAAAATGTAATAAACAAACAAATCAACTTTAATATGCTTAAAGTTCAAATGGTGTTATGTATGACTAAAACAGGTTTAAAATTTATATTGTTTGGCATTTTAAGGCAATACTGGGTCTTTACTGGGGACACAAAAGGTACCGAATACCAGGAATGACCCATAGGTTTCTGTCCCATTGGTTACTAGTAATTTGAATAGCAATATTATTTTTGGACTGTACTTTTTGGTGACATAAGCAGAGCATTGTGAAATGTCCACTGTAACCCTGCTTGTTCTGCCAGTAATTTGAAAACAAAAAAAGGAGATTGTTTTTCAAGACACAAATGTTGTTCAAGGGGAAGTAAGGGAAGTTGTAAGTCTCTGTGGATAAGACTTTTACAGGATAAATAAATAAATAAATAAGGTAAGAAAATACCACAGTTGTGAAATATATAAGACTCCATTAAAAGCTTAGTTACTGTAATTAGATATAGTCATTTTGGTATTGAGTGACCAGCAGAAAATGACGGAGGGAGTTTTCAGTGTTTTCTTAAGAAGAATAACTAAAAATGAAATTACAGAATTACCTGGCATAGTCCTTGGATAAGGTCACCATGAAGGGAGAACTAAATAGGGAGAGAGACTGACAGGAAAAGAAAGAGGAAGTCAACGGACCGTACAAGCCGTAAAAGGCAATTAAATCTCACATCTCTCGAAGTCTCCAATGACAGAAGGTCAAACGTGGTTGTCATCTGTCACTTTACCCCCTCATACTGACCATGAATCACTTTATTCCAAACTCATTTAATAGGTCATCAAACCTTTTTCAGGTTGCGTGTACTTGGTTATATAAAATATTGATGTTAAATTCTCCTCCAACCCATCATCCTTATCATCTCAGGCAGAAGTGCAATGCTCACACAGCCTTATAAGGCTTATTATGGCCACAAAAGGAACACTTTTAATTACTGGGTCCATGAGTTGAATACATCAAAGAAAGGAGAAAAATATTATATGTTTTCCAGTGACTTCTATAAGACATCTGATATCCAGTAGATGGCAGTATTTCTCTCTTCAGATCAATCCAAATCCTCCAAATCCCTTGGTTTGCATCTAAATATGCATGCTTGTAGATTTTGTTTTATGTTGTATGTTTTAACTGGACAGCCTTAAAGACGCTCAGGACAGTTGAAGGGCCACTGCTGCGCGTCATCACGAAAGCTTATCAATTGCATGTGTTTTTGAGCCTTGCCAATCTAAACATTCAAGTGCGCAAACACCGAACCGAGCTCTCCTTCGCTTCCTCCGCGCCTGAACGAACAAATACACCTCCACAGGTTAAACATTCAAACACAAAAAGATGCCAAAAGCTTCATTCAGCAGTGTTCTGTGCGCACAGAATGTTGTTTTGCATCTTCTTGCTCTTGAACCAACAAACAAATGCATACACAATTATGTCACAATACATGTCTTTGCGAGTATCTTCGAAAAAATGGTCGGTAACGCCTTCAGTGAAAGTAAACAGCTGAGAAAGAAATAGAAGGTGTATCATTATATTGGATGCATTGTCTCTTAAAGTGACCGCGCCTAATTTAGCTGCTGTCGGTGTCCTTATTAATGTTAATCCAATAAATTAAATGGGAGAAAATCACTCACAGCTTTTTACAAAAGTACTTTGTAGTTTTAACAAGAATTAATCTAAATTTAATTTATACAGTAAAGACTATGCAATGCTATTTTACATTTGATTGTTAGGTTCCTGTACCACCTACAAACCTGGAAAAAAAAAAATTCTTAAACATTGTTTAATTTGTATTTTTGTTCTATTTATTTATTTGTGCTATTTACACAATTTCAAACAGGGCCCACATGATAAAACCTGCACCAGGGCCCCGCAAACCCCAGCTAAGGCCCTGGTAGTAATAATTATTGACTGTTACAAAGAGAATTGTATCACGTCTACTATCAAATGCAAAAAAATAAAAATAAAAAAAATACACTGCTTGTGCCTTCTCATGAGTTTGTTTTTGCATTCATAACTGCATGTCTTGTTCACCACATTTGGCCAGTAAAAGCATTTTTACACCTTCATCTTCCGTTTGGCAAGATGAGCTTGGTTTCAGTTTCAGCCACAAGTCAGGACCACTGCAATGAAATGTTCCATTGCAGTTAAAATTAATGTAGCACAATCATCACACAGGCTGTGCAATGCATTATCCCTTTCACAAAATAAAGTAAAAGTCTAATAAAACTCAAATGCAATTTATGGCAACGATTAAGAAACAAAGAATCATCAGGTAACCAACTCTATAACAACTTTTTAGGTACATATATGCTGTCACATTGTAAGAACTTAATCCAAGACCAAGTCTAGAATAAAAGAAAATTACAGTTGGTCACATTAGCAGATTAACAACAGTGAATTTCATATGTCGATGCCTTGTGTTGCTCCATACTGAAAACGCAATGTAATTTAATAACACCATAATAATAATAATGTGGCGCTGAATGCTAGCACAGCTGCGTCTGCATTTAACTGGCCACTCCATGTTGAGAGCTTCAGATCTTTGTATGGATCAACTGTAGAAAAAAGATCACATTAACAGGTGTCACATACAAGAGCATTGTAATATACAAAAACTAAGAATCCAAATGTTTTTTCAGCTCAAACCTGTGACGTTGAGAACCAAGAGATGGCCTTTTGCTGCAGTCCCACTGTCGAGACATTTGGCATCACATTGGTAGCGGCCACCGTCTTGAAGTTTCAAGGAACTGAATGTCAGGAAAATGTTCCTTAGCCTGTGCTCATCTATTTCTGTTTCATTTACTGTGATCAGATATTTGTTGGGATCCGTGATTTGCAAAGGCTCATCGATGTTCCAATGCCACCAATTGGTCTGAATGTCGCAATCCTGTATCTTATACCGCACTGTGCACTTGAGAGACAATGAAAGACCTTCAGTCTTCGTTACTGGTTCACGCGAGTAAATCACAGTCACTGCACAAGGGAAATATTTTGAATTAGCCCATAAAAAGTACTGAAAATATAAAAAATGACCTCAACATCTAAATGACAAAACGCTTTGAAAACATTGAATACAAATGTATCCCATTTAATAATATATGCAAAAAAAAAAGAGCCACATACAGTAAGTAGTCTGCTGTCAGTAACATTTTAAAATATATAAATATTCTTAGTTAAGAAATGAATGAGACTTACCTGCTGATAGAGAAGTTGGCTGACTGCAGAGAACAACCATTATAAGAAACGCAGTTGTCAGGTGAAAGATCTGCATGTTTCTGTGCGCAGTCAGTCAGAGGAAACGGCTAACTTGAATATGGCTACCTGGTTTGTATGGTGCTTTACCACATCAAGATGACTTCCTTTGAACTTTGCAGATGCAGCACTGATGCATCATTTTAGACACACAATCACAGATCACATGCCTGCTGAAAAAAAGATGTAGCCAAGTGCTATTTAAAAGCTTTGAGTTGGTCATTTGAGGGAACAAAATCTCTAAATTTTCTCTGGTGGTGGTTAAATGCAGCATAAGCATTTACAGTATAGGTTTATACAATAGGTTTAACAGGAATCATGCCTCAACTTGATTAATTTTCAGCTGGACCTGGCAGAGCGTCCCTTTCTGTTCACAATTTGAATAGCTTCCTCTATTCCTTTCAAAATCTGCAGTGTCATATGATATTTTTAATCATGTCATGTGTGTCACATTAATTTGTTGATATCATTTACAGTACGTACCCTGCATAAATGTTCTGTTTGTCCCATTTTCCCCCTTTTTGGGTTTAAACATTTGGTAGAAGTACAGAGTATAGAAATGTTAGTAAGTAATTCATTCAGTGAATCCAACAGTTCGTATTTATTTTTTATTTCAGTGCAATCACATATTACTGGTTAGACACATACTGTAACATACATAGGTAGGTATATATCATACAGAAATATTTTCAGAAACACAAATATGTTTGATTTACTTTACAGTACTTTTTGCCAGAAAGATACACTTCTACAGTCAACAACAAGCAATAGTACAAATACTAACAATAGCAGTTGTCTCTCTATGCAGCCTTTAGTTTCATGCAGGAAACCACAAAGCAGCTTCTGTGTCCATCAATGCCATAACTTTCATTTTGTTTCACACTGCTGAAAACTAGGTTTTTCAGCCTTTAGCTTATCTGTTTGTATTGGGTAATAATGCTTTTTCTTCCCTAAATCTCTGTCATTGCTCAACACATTACTGGACCACTATGATGTGTGACATCAAGGATTGTGGGTAAATATCAAGACTAGTAGAGAGCCTGCATTTTATGAATTTATAAGTTACTGTCACAGACTAAACTCCACAAGTAGACACAATTAAAAACTATTTAGTGCATGCCAGTACATTCATATGAGTCATAAAGTGCAAATATACAGTATGAGCCTAAAAATCTAAAAGTTACAGAATAAATATCAACTGTCTATGGTATAATAATTCTCTGTGATCAAAATACTCCGTCATAGTGGTAATAATATTATGTATTTAACTGTACTAATGCAATGGAATACTACAGAGTAAACAAATAAATAAATTAAATAAATACTAGACAAGAAATTCATGATTCCTATAAGGAATATTAATACACAGTTTAGAACCCAAAAGTTCATATTAGTAAAGATCATGAGCAAAAATCCATACTATGAGGTAGCAGCAAAGTTAACATTCCTCGTTTGGGGCATTAAGGGGTTCCTCATAAGTAGATTTTATCCCAAAAATAGCTCCTTGAGGGAAAAAAAGATAAGCAAAATTTAATTATGTATTACATTAGTTCGCTTTTGAGATATATTCTTAAAAGATGACAGTATGTTGCATTTGTATTAGCCTATTTCATCTAGTCGTATAGATGGATTTTGCTGCTTACTCTTTAGTCTGGTGTGAAGACAGATGGCAATAATGACAAGAACCACAACAGTCATGATAATGAGTACTGAAATTGTAACAATGTAACTTCTTGGACCGTTGTTCACTGTAAGACAAAAAAAATGTATTCAATATTGAGAAAAAGTATTGCAGTCAAAATGTCATCATAATGAATGTATCTTAATTGGTTTTGCAGTTTTGTCAAGCAATCTAAAAATGTGCTTCAGGTTGTAACATCTAAATTAACTGGTTTTATTCAAATCAAAAATATGTAGCATGACTGAATCAACCTGACTGCATTAGGCAGAAAGTTACTGTAGAATAGCTATTCTATTCTAACCGATATCCATGCTGAACCTCTTACCTTTATTATTTTCATCAGGCACAAAGATTTGGACGCTCTTCAATATGCCGTCACTCTGAGCAACACATTCCACGTACTTCCCATGAAACTGTGACAGTGGAAGCGTGAGGTTGCTCGTAATGTTGGTTGAACGGTCTTTGTTGAGAGTTGTGAAATTACTTGACCTAAAGTTGTTCAACTCTTTCTCTGCAGATTTCCAGAAGATAGTTGGAGCCGGTTTACCAGTGGCTGAACATGAGACTACAACATCTGGATCAGAACTAGGTGCAGGATTCACTGATGCTGTTATTTCTGATATACCTGCAAAAATACAAGCAACATGACTTAATTATGTACAATTTTTTAATACCACACACAAAAACGATGGATAATTGGCTGCATGTACTCTTTTCATTTTGCTGGAACTGGAAACTGAATGAAAGTTTCAGATGCATCTTGAACACATTGTTTGATCCTGCATTGAGATGCCATTATTAGTCAGACCTCGGAGTATCTTCTGATTCACACCATCCCTTTCCAGTTTGGGCATATCTGCATTCTCTTGGATGAGATTGCTTGTATTTTACTTAGACAACATGTACTGACAAATTAGGGGAGACTGGAGTTAGTTGTCACTTTTTAGTCCAGTGAATATTTCTCAGGGTAGGTTTGCTTTTGAAAGTACAAAACTTTAAAATCTTGACTAAAAACATCTATTGAACATTTTCACTGTTATTGCTCTGGAAAAAGATGCAGCTCATTTAACTCACATCAACCTAGTGTTCCCAATATTATGGAATATTGTCAAACTATATGGGTTTAAGTTGTCACAATGGGAACCTGCCATTAAATAGCCTATTATATCTATCAAAACAACTATGAAACACAAAATAACTCACAAATCAATTTTAAATCAGTTTTAAAATGTATATAAATATCAAACCACTGTTTTGGCAAAAGGAAATTGTATAGAATTAAAATATTTTTAAGTGACAGCCTGACCCAAACTGACATGCCCTAGTCCTGAAAACAGTTTAATGTTTTGATTAAAATTGTTAGCTGATCCTAGTGTTTTTGACTCAAAATCTGAGAGAAAAGCTTTGTGACTTTCATAGTTGCAGCAAGTATTTAACCTACCTTTAACAGTGAGGCACAAGGTTTGTCGTTTAGGTTGGAGTGGATCTAAATATACTAGAAGGCTAATGAACTTGAACAAAACTACTACTACTTTTGTGTGCTGTCTATATTTACTGAGTTGATTAGCATTTATATGTACTTAAAGGGTTAGTTCACCCAAAACTGAAAATTCTGTCATTAGGCTACTCACCCTCGTGTCGTTCTAAACCCGTAAGACCTCCATTCATCTTCGGAACACAAATTAAGATATTTTTGATGCATTCTGAGAGCTCTCTGACCCTCCCATACACAGCAATGTAATTACCACGATGAAGGTCCAGAAACGTAGCAAGGAGATCAGTAAAATAATCCATGTGACATCAGGTGTTCAACTGTAATTTTACGAAGCTACGAGAATACTTTTTGTATGCAAAGAAAATAGAAATAATGACTTTATTCAACAATTAATGTCCTCCGCGTCACCCTAGCCCCATTTTGGAGAGCATCCACTGAACGTAAACAGCATATGCTGTTCTGTGTCTGCTCCACCACGCAGATACGTTCGTTCAAATCTTCTTCTTCTTCTTCTTCTGGCTTTAACAAAAAGGTGCATTCCCGCCACCTACTGAGCTGGAGTGTGGTTCGTTGATGGAACAGGAAGAAAGAAAAAAAAAACAATTAAGGAAAGGACCACTAATAATAAATCGGCTTCTAAATCCTCTTAAACAGATGCACCTTTCTTAAATATTTCATTAATACTTTATATACTCTATGACTTTCCAAGCCATTATTCAGCAGTTTTTTTAAATGTAATATTGCCTATTCCCATTTCTTTTAACTCTTCCACCAGAATTATCCTTTCATTTTGATAAGCAGAGCAATATATTACTTGCTCTTCAGTTTCTGCTAATCCACATAGACTGCAATTCCCAGACTCATGTTTGTTCATTCTATACAGGGAATGATTAAGAGCTGAATGCCCAAGGCGAAGTCTGGTAATGATTGTGTCTTCTCTTCTACTGCCACGACTTGTTCAATCAAATTGTTAATGGACAAATTTGTTTATTAAATTTGCATCCAGTGGACCAATGCCGTGTGAAACATGCAAGCACTGAAGGAAGTGCTGGGTGTTCTGCACTTCCAGTAAAGTAAACAAATGAGTTCGTATGCATTGTCAAAGCAAAAATTTAAGTCAAAATTTGCTGGAAATGTACTCACCCTCAGGCCATCCAAGATGTAAAGTTTGTTTCTTCACTGGAACAGATTTGGAGAAATTGAGCATTATATCACTTACTCACCAATGATCCACTGCTGGGTGCCATCAGAATGAGAGTCCAAACAGCTGATAAAAATGTCACAATGATCCACAAGTAATGCAGATGACTCCATCAATTAACATCTTGTGAAGCAAAAAAGCTGTGTGAAACAGGTCTGTCATTAAGGTGTTTTAACTTTAAACTGTCGCAGTCCGCTATCCATAATAATGCCTCCTCCAGTGGAAAAGTCCTGTTGTCCTCTTGCATTAAAATCCACCGACATATTTGTTTAGAACTGTTTTCATTTTTAAACAGTGCTTGGCCTGTATACATTTCTCTAATTTAGATGAGGCAGCTTTTATGTAAAGCCATAGCTACTCATATTTTAGCTGGAAGTGAAGTTTTGAAGTTAAAAATGTCTTAATGATGAACCTGTTTCTTACAGACATGCAGCTTTTTCATTTCACAAGATGTTAATTGATGGACTGGAGTCATGTGGATGCTTGTGGATTATTGTGATTTTTTATTGGCTGTTTGAACTCTCATTCTGACGGCACCCATTCACTGCAGAGGATCCATTGGTGAGCAAGCGATGTAATGCTAAATTAATCCAAATCTGTTCTGATGAAGAAACAAACTCATCTACATCTTGGATAACCTGAGGGTGAGTACATTTTCAGCAAAGTTTTATTTCTGGGTGAAATATTCCTTTAATGTGCCAGGTTTTCATGTGAATAAGGCAAGACCTTTAGTGAATGACAACTTACATTTTATTATTTGTTACACAAAATTAGGTATGGATTAAGAAGAAATAAGCTCTCTATGTATTTGGTAATTTTTTTCCATTTTACATTTCAGGGGGATAATGGTTACTTTAGGTACTTTCCTTGTAGAATTTAAATCAATACCTAAGTGTGACTCACTGGAATGAGTGTCACTGGATATGACCTAACATACTGTCACTGTCACATGAGAAATTTCCTGTATTAATCAGAAGGTCTGTTCTTTTCATTTGTATAGTGTACTTTTAGTGCTAGAGCACGTCCAACGCATAGAAGAATGGGTTGACAATATGCAATAGATACAAAGGAATGTGTTCTCTAACAGTGATGAAAGAATTATTCTATTGCTTTTTGTGGTGGGTTAGTCATCAGTGATTGATTGATGATTCAGGAATGTACTTCTGGATCCAACAAGAATATTTTATTAGAGAACTTTGAGCATTATGTACAGGTGACCTGCAGCTTTGCTGAACAGCATGTCAGTTTGTTGTAGATTAGTGGAAAGACGTTTGAGTGCTATAATGTTTTGTGGCTTGCACATTTTCATGTCTGGCTCAGTGAGTTTCAGTAATAGAAATGGACACCTATATGGACTATACATAGTATAGATAAGAAGACCATATTCAACATATATATGAAATTGTTGAAAACCAAACTAAATGCACATTTACAAAAGGTTTTGTATATATATATATATATATATACACACACAAAACAAATGCACAAAAAACAAACAAATCTATTCTATTCGATATACAATTTCTGAATTGGTAGCATGAACATAATAAATACAAAATGATTTACTGCTTAAAATTAAATTGAGCATATTACTCTAAGACAGACAGCTGTAACAGATTTATTTAAAATCCTATAGACAAATCTCACAACAATAAATAACACCGAATGTCAGGTTGAAAGAACTTAAAGTGCAGACGCGGGATGTAAAAACTGTGGAGAAATGCAGACTATCTCAGGTAACCAGATATTATTTATACTATTATCTAAAAATTAGCTTATTCACAAATGTAAACATGAAATGACTTTTTTTTAGCAGATGACAAAAGTAGCATCAGAAAGATTGATAAATTCTGAATAAAGTAACAGTTGCACAGTAGTTCAAGCCAAACAAGCAGATTTTTGATCTTCTTTATCTGAAAAAAAAAAGAATAAATAAATAATGAATATACAAAATAATGCTGTTTTTTACATGACAATAAATATGGTGCTGATACCTAGAGTGTAATATTTTTCTGCTTACCATTTAACTTGGTGTGAAGATAGGTGACGATAATGACAATACTGATGATAATCAAGACCAGCATCGGAATGATATAATTTCTTATTGTGACTTTATTCTCTGTGAAACAAAAAAAGGTTTTGGTTTGTGTGTAAATATTGATCATTTTTTATTTAAAAATATGCATACATAATTTTTTGGCTTAATTGTGAAATTAACAATAATGCCACATAGTCTATGTAGTTTTAAATCTACTAAGTCACTACCACTCAAATAACTTGTGTTTCAGAAGTCAAATCAAGTTACCTTTATCTTCATCAGGCACAAAGATTTGGACGCTCTTCTCTATGCCGTCACTCTGAGCAACACATTCCACGTACTTCCCATGAAATTGTGACAGTGGAAGCGTGAGGTTGCTCGTAATGGTGGTTGAACTGTCTTTGTTGAGAGTTGTGAAATTACTTGACCTAAAGTTGTTCAACTCTTTCTCTGCAGATTTCCAGAAGATAGTTGGAGCCGGTTTACCAGTGGCTGAACATGAGACTACAACATCTGGATCAGAACTAGGTGCAGGATTCACTGATGCTGTTATTTCTGATATACCTGCAAAAATACCAGCAACATAAGGTCTTATGTCATAATTGTGTACAATCTTTTAATTCCACACACAAAAAAGTGGACAACTGGCTGCATGCACTCCTTTCATTTTTATGAAACTGTGTGAAAGTTCCAGTTGCATTTTGAACACATTTTTTGGTCCTGCATTGAGATGTGGGAGTATCTTCTGATTCACACCATCCCTTACCAGTTTGGGCATATCTGCATTATCTTGGATGAGATTGCTTTTTGTGTTTGTTTTTTACTTGGACAACATATATTGTACACTTTACTGACGAATTAGGGGAGACTGGAGCTAGTTGTCACTTTTTAGTCCAGATAATATTTCTCAGGGTAGGTTTACTTTTTCACTTAAAGTCTTGACTAAAAACAGCTATTAAATATTTATTGCCCTATAGTTCATTTAACTCACATCAACCCTGTGTTCCCAATAGTATGGAATATTGTCAAACTATATGGGGTAAGTTGTTACACTGGGAACCTGCCATTAATTGCTTTTCAGCCATTTCAAAACTGAAAAACATCAATGAAACACTAATTCATAAATCAATTTTAAAATATAGTTTTAAAATATAACATATATAAAACTACTGTTTTGGTAAAAGGAGATTGTATACAATTTCAAACTGAGATGCCCTAGTCCTGAAAACACAGTTCAGTGTTTTAGTTCAAATCTGCCCTTGTTAGCTGATCATTGTGTTTTTGACTCAAAACCTAAGAGAAAAGCTTTGTGACTTTCATAGTTGCAGCAAGTATTTAACCTACCTTTAACAGTGAGGCACAGGGTTTGTCGTTTAGGTTGTAAGCATGTCATGTCATGGCTTGATGGCAACCCTCTATATCAGACAATCAACATATTACAGCGTACACTGTCACTATTGCGTAAAAGCGACCGAGTCATCTGTTCAAAATGTAAATGAAACCTTTTAAGTCTTGACTGACGTGCTTCCTGAGGCTTCACTATAAATCCGGTGAAAAGGCGGTGACTATTCCTGTGAAATACAAGCAGGAAGACCGACGCCATACTGTCATTGTGTTTTCTTATGAAGAAGATCAGAATAATGCAGAAGACAAACGCATTCATCATGCGTTTCACAAGAACACATGACAAGAGAGCACATGATAAGCAAATCAGACTCTAGGTTTAGGCCTGTCAAAATAAAAGCCGCCTTGTTTATGAGTAAATCGGCATGCTCTGAAAAATATTGTTTTTGGATATATAGCTTTATTTTTCTGTTCAAACTTTTGATGCTCATAATGCGTATTGATTTAACCGTAATGAAACTGATAACGAATACTGATTAATTGAGACTATAACATTCTAAGTGTACCAACATTCCCAGGGAAAACCTGGGAAATCAAAATGGTTTAGAAATATTCCAAAAATGTCTATTACAAATTATTGTCAAGTACAAAGAGTGCTGTTGTATCCGGCTTGCAACACTAATAGAAAACAAATTTCTTTTAAATTTGGATTCATTTTGAATTTTGTGCATGCAAAATTGGACACAATATTTTTTTAATTGTTAGTGCAAATTTTTTTTATTAACAATTCTAAAAAATAGTGTGTCCAATTTTGTGTGTCCAGTAGAAGTACAATGGAAAGTGTTACAATCTAGCAGTATTTAAAAATGTCTTATGTATGTATGTAGCCTATGTATGTATGTATTTGGTGAATGGTGAAACAACATTTCCGTTTCAAGGCAGATGTGAAATTTACAGATGTGAAATTTTCAGATATTTTAATTAAATATAAGATCTTATCACTGAAATATGTTTTTGTTAGTTTGTGCAAATTATGTCATAAAATTCTTTGTTTTTGATCTCATGACATCAGACATTATTTATACATTTAATTGTGCCGTAGATTAAACTTGCCATATTCTCACTTTTTTTTTTTCCTACTCATTTTTGAATTTTGGAGAATCCTAATTGTTCTATTAAATTTTTGTAAAACTTCCCAGATACCAATTTCTTCCTCATTCTTATTTTTTTATTCACTTTAAGGGTTAAAGTTAAGATGTTACGATCAAGATTCAGGAATGATTACCATTCAACTGTGGCTTGTTTTCCCCAAACAGAAATCATTACATAACAAGTTACTGTTACTGCAGTGACATGTTTATTTCCTGGTATCAAAAGGGAACTTCTCTCAAGGAATGAGACAGAAAATACCAATGTATTACACCCAAACAACAACCAACCACATATCACATGCAATTCATAAATGTGTGGATTGTTAATTTTTCAGTCACAGAAGGTTATCGGTTTGTTTTTTATAAGGCAATATCCAAAATATCATCTTATCATTGTTTAATTTACCCATACTCTGTGAGCACAGGACAAAATTAGGGCTCTGTTATTCACTAAGCTGGGTAAAGATGTGACCCACCCCCATGCTATATTTGGGTATGAAATACAGTTACATTATGGTTTTGGTTAGTAACCTTATAGAGTAAATGAGTTTCACTTTATCTTGTGTAAATATAGCAGACATGTGAACACACAGCGAGCGCCACTGATTGCTAAAACTCGTTTTTATTACATTTAATTATTTAAAAGTTACATTTTTTTAAAATGACATTTTATGTATTTTCTAAATAACTAGTAACACTACACTTTATTAACAATTACAGTTTTAAGCAGTGTATTGGTAGTAAGTTAAATGCTACACTCTTAAGGAAAGTCCATAAAAATAGGGCACAGTATATGTGTTAACATATGAAGGAATTTTCTGTATGAATTTTTCACTAGCATTTTACCTGTATTTTAAATTACACATTCCATTTAGATGAGATAGATTGATTTTTGAGATAAGATCAACAGTGTACCTAACTGATTAACCATTTTAGGCACAAAATAACAACTACGGTGTATCATAAATGAACAGTTATGACTGAACAAGTGCAACTAGCAACTTGATTCACATGATGTGATGTGTGTACTGCTGGGCAGCTCTCTCCACAGCTGATGTACTGCTTGGCTGGCTAGGCTAGCTGTTCAATCATTTCTTTTTTTGTGTGTGGTTAAGAGGAAAAATGCATGCCTTTTTTAATCATTTGAGTCACTTTTCAAAAGTTGCTCAAATTTGCCAAATACATTTTAAAAATAGCCAAATTTGGTGCTAGGTGCTTTTTGGAAAGCAAGTTGCTAGGGTAGTCTGAAAAGTTGCTAAATCTAGCAACAAAATTGCTAAATTGGCAACACTGCGATTTGACCGTTCTCTGTAGGTCCCACCCTCTCGCACGCCACGATTGGTCGATTATGTACAATGCTTGCACGCTATTGGTCAAACTACTTTTCAGTCATTACCTTTCGGCATCTATGAAAACAATCGGAAAACAATATGAAACAAAGACGTAAGGTGGTCATTTTATTTTATTAATATCATTTTTAAAATTTGATTCAAATGGGCCAAAATTGTATTAGCAATCAACTAATATGGTCAACTAAAGTAGTAACAATATTGCTAAATATAGCTCATTTAAAAGAGAGAGAGAGACTGCATGCCATTTCTTCATGAATTATTTAAAGACTTTAACAAAAGAAAAGCCGTTTCTCCAAATGTATTCTATCTTCACCCAGTTCGTTTTCACAAGTCAAAGCGGCATTGTCTGCAGGCGTCGATTGGGCCGATAGTGACATCTGCTGGACGGAAGCCGTTAATAGCCTACTTTATGATCATGAGCACCAGTGCAGGCGCTTTAATATTACACCAGACTGTTAACTATTAATAGATCGTATGACCACATTTTCCTTGAAGAGATCCAATGAGCCCATTTTAGAATAAATGTAGGCTGAGGGATTGGTAATTTATTAATTCATTCGCTTCTCACAATATTTCTCAAGATCAGTCTCACGTATATCTCATCGTTTGTGTTTCCGTAAGCTCTCTGGCAACCAAGACGTGTTTTCGGTGATGATGACATTGTGGTAGGTCGTCTCGGAGGGTGGAGAGAGAGAAGCTGCGCGCCGAATAACTTCCTATCGACCGCGTGTTTTTGTCACTGCAGTGAATGAACATGAGCAGCGGCAGACTATATTCACGACTGCAATCATGTCGTTTTTATTCCGGTGGTTTGAGAGCGACATATCACCGAACCCTGGACAGGATCGAGTTAATGCTGCCGCCTAAATTAAGACCTCTCTACAATCATCCTGCTGGTAAAGACATTAAGTTACTCTGCTCCTGTCAGAAGAAGAAATACACTAGCAGTCAGTCATTGTCAAATATTGCAATATGTGATGCTATTTTGAAGCGTTTAACTTACATAATTAGGCCTACAGTATATGTTGCATCTGAATTATATTTTCTAGATTATCTCCACAATGTGATCCATATTATTTTTCTCAGCCATACTGTGGTCCCCAAAAATAATTTGGACACTTGAGGCACAATTAAATGCAGTAGACATGAAATGCATTATTTACACTATAGCACTTGCTATAATTTCTCTCAGAATCTTTTTTTTTCTCCTCAGGGCCAAAGACGGTTTTCTTCTGGGCACCTGTTTTTAAATGGGTAAGATGAGTTTTGTTTGTTTTCACACAGTTGAAATGGTCAAATATAAAATACATCATCACATTTTACTCTCTTCTGTTTTGACACCGTAGCAGTTCTAAGGCTAGATTGAAGAATGTCTTGACCTTGGATGTTTGTGTTTGACTTGATTATAGAGAATGTAGTGAAAATTACTAGATACAGTTAGGAATAGCTCATCATTTACTCGCCCCCATGCATTTAAAAACCCACTCTTTCTTGTGTGAAAAATAAAAGTAGCAGAATGTTACTGCTTTTTCTATACAAGGACTATACCTGGCATAGTTCTTGCATAGGTAACTGACCATACCTAGCTTAGATTTTGAAAGCGTTTAGTGATTAGCAACTTAAATGTCACTCTGTTTCTCACAAAAAAGCAATCATATGGCTTCAGAAAATTTGGAATATGGTGTTGAAGTCAAATTAACTACTTTTATGATGCCTTTTTTGTCCTTTGAGCTTGACAGACCCTGGTCTCCACATAATTTTATTATATGGAAGAGTGCAACTCAAACATTCTGCTAAGCTTCTCCTTTTGTGTTCTGTGGAAGACAGAAACTCATACAGGTTTGAAAAGGCATGGTGGTGGTAATGATTTTTGAATGAACTATCCCTTTAAGCAAAACCAACATAGCATTCTGCAAATTGGCAGTACATATTTTGCAGTTTGAAATGATGTAATGCTGCGGTGAATGCAATCATATCATGGATTTACCTGCTGATCAAGGCCTTCGAGCAAGCTCACTCTTGTTTGCTCTTTCTTTCCTCTTGCAGGGTTTAGTTGTGGCTGGATTCTCTGATATGACCCGGCCACCAGAAAAGCTCAGTCTTTCTCAGTCCTGTGTCATTACAGCCACAGGTACTTGTTTTAATGTGCGACAGAGAGATGCTTGATGGGGTTTATAAAGATTTATCTACATCAGTAGCTGTTGTCAGTGTCCTGTAGATGAGAATATCTCATCTAAAGCCTCATCGTAACCTGAGATTAGTGTGGCTGAAAATAGAAGCTGAAATTAACCCAGGAAACGAAATATCTGAGCAGTGTATCCTATGTGACAGTAAAGAAAATATTCTCTCTCGATCTGACTCTGAATGAGAGCATTTCTGAGACTGGTAGTCTGTCTTAGCATAACTGTTCTTAGCATAATCTCTTAGCATAACTGTTCAAAAAATTTCTCATACTAGATTCAGCAATTCACACATGATCTTGGCCTAAGTTTTGACCTATATAAGTGCCAACTTACTAAGACTAAGGCCTTAACCCGCTTTGCTCACAAATATAGTTGATTCTGCAATGAGGTTTTTATTTCAACATAGCATTAGTTAGTTGCAAATCTCTCTGATTTCTTTCCAGGATTAATTTGGTCAAGGTACTGCTTGGTGATCATCCCTAAGAACTGGGCTCTGTTTGCTGTGAACTTCTTTCTGGGCATGTGTGGCAGCATCCAGCTCATGAGAATATGGAGGTTAGTCATTACGAGTTCTGTTCTAAGGTCAGCTTTGTTTACTACCATCAGTCAGTACACAGAGGTGACGAGCTTAGT